TAATATAAATGAGTATGATATAATCATATTTGATACTCTTTTATCCTTTTACTCTATACTCACTACAAAATAAGAAAACTTTAGGTCTTAATTGGTATTAAAGCACATTTCTCTATCTGGTAGCTTTTAAAAATTCAACACTGTATATCTGATTTTTTTAAAAAAACAAAACAAATACATGTAAATCCATAATTTCCACCTTCCTTTCCAAATGAAAGGTCAGAAGAAAATTCTTACTGAGTATGAGGACCAGATGGAGCTTAAAAATACATCTAGATTTTTTTTCCAAAATTTGACTTTACTTTTTTCTTAAAATTTTTTTTTGGGGGGTACCAGGGATCAAACTCAGGACCTTGCACTTGCGAGGCAGGCGGCAGCACCACTGAGCTAAATCCCCGGCTTGACTCTACTTTTTTGTATTTTGAGAGTAATTACTAAAAAGGAGGGGGGCGTTCTATGAGCCAGAGGAATTCTGAATTTACCTTGAAAGTCATCATACCTATCTTGCTATATCAAACATTTCAACTCTGTTAGCTAAATGAACCATATAATACCCTTAAATAGGTATCAACCAGAGAAGAAAAAAAATCTCATTTTCATAATGATTGAGAATTAAAACTTACTCTTTCAAAGGAGTAGTTTAACCTATTAAGTATGTCTATTGTAAGATCTTCTTTCTTAGAAAGTAATTATTCCTTCTCTTTCATTCCTGAAATGTTTCATACATTTAAGCACATTATAGACAACTGATAGCTAAGAATTAGTTACAGTAAATTAGCTAGAATTAAATTACTTCTTGTTTGTGGTACATATGAAACATTCCTAGTCCATTTAAACCTAGATTTTCTTTGATAAAAAATTAAATTAATGGAAAAGTAGACAAGCAGTCACTTAAGTAATAAGTCACATGGTGCATAAACAATTTAATTCTGACACCAAACAGGAAGAATAAAATTCACTATGCAGATCTCTTATTCATAAAACCATGGCAAAAACTTGTATTTTAAAACTGGAATAATTC